AACTCCAACCAAAACCTGATGTCATTAAAACAGAATTTTGTCGTGTGCAGATATCTGAAGTGAAAGTTTTCATGGGTTATAATCGTGTTCACCAACGGAAGCGAGTTGAACTTTAACAGCCATGTATATTTTCCATTAGTATGTACATATTGGGCACTTATGCTTTCTATCCTTCCACAACTCAGCGAACTATGTATCGTCATACCGTCAACGAAATCCAGGTTCGTTAAACGCTATAATGAAGATGATTTGTTTAATAAGTAAGCACCTCGCGGCTTATACAGAGTGCAGACCAAGCTTAGATACAAACAGACACTAGGGAAGTAGAGAATAGACTAATTAGCATAATATCATCATAATTTCGTCCCTACTATGCCATCAACCTGATTCTGTCGTTCGACGGCATCTCTGAATGGTCTGCTAATCAAGATGAAGGATATGGTTGAGTGGCGATGCGATATACCTAGTTCCGATAAGGAGTACAGTAAAACTTATGCGGACGACAGATGATGCGGATAACCCCTTGAAAACTTCCTATCATTCACTCATCGTTGAACGGCGCATCGCCAAACGAGAGCGTCAGACGTTTGCTTCGGCCGGCGGTGAGTTCATTTGACCTTTTGGATCATCTAATGAACCGTGTCGAGGTGCGCTGATTTGAAACTGAGTTCTAGCATGGTTGTAGTGTTGAAGAGTAAAAAATGGAGATAAAAAAATGCTCAAAAGACGAAAGATCTTAGAATTGCAGAGGTTTGAGGAGAAGCACCGCACATAATCCGTAAGGTACATGAAATGAATTCATGATCGACATGCGTTCCGACATACGTGTAAAATTCAGTACGGTAAATCGAATGTAAAAGCAAACGTCAAAAGGGTACTACTTGGTTACCTGCGGAAGTGAACCTGGTCATGATTCGTCAATTGATCGGTCAGCTGTTTGTCACGTGGTTACTTGGCGCAGAGGAAAACCGATTTGATACTTATTCGTTTTGTGCTGACCGTCGAACCGATGTCGGACGGCGATCGCGAAGACGAACGACTGCGTAAGCAGCCCTGAGGAATTCCAGCTCCAACAAAGCTAAAGCCACCGACGGGCGATCAGCTCATGGGTCGATTGTCGTGCGCAACGATCGGATTCGAGTGACGAGACGAGGAACGAAAAAAAAACTAAAACCTCGCACCGCATGAGCGAGTGCAGAGGCGGATCGAGATTTGGAGGCCATCTTCTCCACCCTCTCCTGAGGCCATCCTCCGCTGTGACCAGCGCGCCATGACCATCTAATTGCACGATAACGGACCGGTTGACCAGGCAAATATTTTTTTAAGTGAACGGACAAACAGCACACAGATGCAAAAGATGCTCAGAAAAAACTGATCGGAGTTTCCGAAACTTCGCAATTCAGTGCCAAGTCTGTCATGGACGTTTCTTCTAGACAGAAAAAGATCGTTGAAGCGCCAGCCAGACATCAATGCCAGTTTCCGCCAATCCGCTGATGCGCTGCTTACAGGGAAACTTACACAACGGCCTGCGTATAAATCAGTGACAGAGGCCTGGCGTAAAGTAAATCGAGTATTTTCCGTAGAAACACAAAAGTCTATTTGGTCAGTTAATGTTAGTCAGCATCCAGAAAATCAAAGAATGTTGTCAATGCTTAAATAAACTTAAATAAAGTTTCCATCACTGAAATGACACCGTAAATTTTCAAGTACACCGACGACATCGTGCTGCTGAGCGATTCCGCAATTGACATACTGACACTCATCGAAAAGATGCGTAAATGGGGTTGCAACTCAATCTGAAGAAGACGAGGATTATTAGGTAATCCACCGTGACTATCAGCCTGAGCACACCATCGGATAATATTACGATGAATGAGGTGGATTATTTCAGCTACCCTGGAACTGTGCTATCGATAGACACTGATCTTGAAATGAAAAGAAGTATTGTACTGGCATCAGCGAATTATGGCAAGTTGTATGATATACTGGACGATTAGACCATAAGAACCGATACGAATATCACCATTCTGAAAGCATCGGCATCAGCAATGGTCAAACCTAACTGCAAATAATTTCCGAAATAATAAAAATTGGATAGTTGATAATCGTTGGAATGCCGGTCTGCCTTACATTTTCTCAAAAGAACCTTTTTTTAAAATAAATTAATGGTTGAATCTCCAGTTTTACGTCATCAGATAGGATCAGGGAGCAGTCTCCTGCTTCCCTCCACACAGAGCTGTACCTCGATAGAAAGAAAGGTGAGTGACCAGAGGGTAGATTCTCTGTTTTACGCCCGATGATGTGCACTGAGCAATCTCGATATTCTTAAGTAAAGTACTCTTGAGTGGTGGCAATTAAAGGGAGTCTAATGCCTTATCACAGGCTCGATGATGAATGGGCTTCGTAAATGAAGTCTGAAAAAGAAGTCTGAGAAAAAGAACACTCAGAAGTTACCACCTCTTTATGCGTTTCCACTTCGAGCAAAGCTGAAACATACATATTGTTCATCTTAATATTCCATCGCCGCTTCACCTTTCGGGTCGCGGAGTTCGCCAGAGCTTCCGTTTCCGATCCTGTGCCAGAGTCTGACCTTCGACAGAAGACAACTGGAGTCTGGAGCAGACTCCTTCCATATA